ACACAGATCCCGGCCCTGAAACATCTGCAAATATTTATGGAGATAACAATATCCAGAGGGTTCGCCTTTCTGACGGAGCAAGCAGCCGTGCCGGGAGGGGGCTGTGGCGGTTGCAGCCCGGAGGGAGCGTTTCAGATGCTGCTGCTCGTCGCTGTTCTGAAAAAGCAAGAAAAGAAGGGGAAAAAAAAAGGAAAAAGCCCCTTTCGGCTCCTCCCTGCCTGCCAAGATATTTGCACGAGCTGGGCGTCTGCAGTCACATTATCCAGAAGTCTCCGCCGGGAGCGGTACCACATGGGATAATGTGATGGCGAGGATGCTGCGGTGCTGAGCCTGGAGCATCCCGGGGAGCAGCCTTAGGGCGGCGGGGCTGGACCACGCTCCGGAGGATGCTTTCAGCAGCACAAACAACTGATGCTCTCTGGATCCAATTGCAACAGAGGATGTTTCTCTGGTGAAGATGCTGCCGAGTCTTACAGATGCTTTTTCTGCAATAACCAAACGCTGCTTGCTCTGAAGCTCTAAATACAAACCCAAAGCATCACCTCCGGGCCCAGCTGGGGTGCGTATAGGTGGCCGTGTTCCCCTCACATTCGATATCTATTAACCCCGCACCCTCACATGCTGGGGGATACGAGAGGGAGGATGTCAGGGGCTCAGTAACTTCAGGATGGGACCTGCGTGCCTGTCCAGTCGGTACTTGGATGACAATGACCTCTTCCTTGTCGTGCCACAAGGATGGCATTGTGGAGGACTTGTTGACTCTTGCATTGATGGGACTTGAGGGTTGGCGTCTGCGAGTCCTGATTTTTCCCTTCCACTGGGTTTCATCGCTCGTTCATCTCTGCCAATCTCCCCTACCCCAAATCCTGCGGCTGTGACCTATAGGAAGGGCTTTGGTGGTGGCCAGACCTCGTTGCGGGGTTGCTGTCCTCCATGAACCGGCGGTGGGAGGTGGCTGCCGCCCCCGGTGTGCTTTGCATTGGCACAGACGGAGTGAGCCACCTCAGAAGCAAAAAAATAAGTCAAGTTTCATGCATGGAGAGGACTTCTGCTAAAGGAGGTTGATGCTACAGTTGATTGACAGAGGTTTGTCTTCTCCGCTCTGGTGGGACGTGGGTGGAGAAGGCAGTTGTGGTGGCACCGGGAGGGTTGTCCTGAGGTGCTGTCACCTCTTCCAGCCAAGGTTTGCCGGGCAGTAGGGGCAGGGGTTGGTTGCCTTTGGCTCCTGGGAAATAAATGATGGTGTGAATGGTGGGTCTTCACTTCCCCGAGCGCAGCGGCTGGAGCGGAGAGGCTGGCAGGAGGCTCTTGGTTTAAATCCGCTTGGCTCCATCTCGCCACCGAACCGTTCAGATTAAAAAAAAAAAAAAAGAAAAAGAGGAAAAAAAACCCACCCTCTTACTTTATTTACATTGCACTCAAGTTTCCGCCGTACAAAAGATTTGCAGGTGCAAATATGTCCTGCCTTCATTAACTTCCCCTCCCTTTTTAATTTATGTGATTTCAATTTTCCTTCCCTGTACTGTTAATTAGGGGACCCTCTAATCAGTACCATTATCACAGTGGTATTCATGTTTAGGAAAGCTGCTAAACAAATGCTTGCAAAATTGCTAAATGGCTAATTAATGTCTGTTAATTAAGAAAATTGCTCATGGTAACAAACCATGCCATTGCTGGCAGCAGCTAGAAGGCGAACACTTGTTGAAATTAGTAACGAGGCAGGTAGAGAACATCTGCTCCGGCGCCAGTCCTGGAGCCTGCCGTCGCTTCCCATCACCTACTGACAAAGCTCGTTTGCTTTCTCTACCAATTACACCTCCTTTGACTCAAAAAATACCTTTTTTTTTTTTTTCCTTAACCTTAACACGCACCGGTATATTCTTGCACCGAGCTCGCGGTTTTTCCAAGCAAATTTTCATTTCGTGCTTTTAAGGGAAATTTAAAAAAAAAAAAAGTGGGCGTTCAAGCCCAAAATGTCAGCGGCTGCTGCATTGCAGCCTTAAACCTGCACCGACTAATCTCTCCTTTTTTCCCCTAGACATCCTTTCTTTGCTCGCAAGCCATTTTACTCGCATCCTTAGGGAATCCACCTGGAGGAGGGATGTTGCATCCGTACAGTCTGGCGATGCAGCCCCGGTTGTGCCGGCCAAACGCTGCCCAGGCGCGAGCTGGGACGTGCTCCTTGTCCTCTGCGCTCGCTCCAGCACCTCCAGTGAACCACGGTTAAAAAACAAACAAAAAACACACAAAAAAACCAACAAAAAAAACCCTGGAGGTCTTTCCAACCTTTGGGATGAGAGAGGAAAAAATTATCTTTTTTTTTTTTTTTTGGTTTGGGGGTGTTTTTTGTATTTCCCCCAACCTCTCTGATCCTCTCCTGCATATTTTTTGCTTCCTCATTGCACGCCCTTGCAAAGTGTTTCCCTGTGTGTTTATCATTGCAGACTTGGTTGAACTACCGGACCGTTTACCGTCAAATGTGGCTGCTGTATTTTGACAGATGTTCTGATTTTTAATTTTTTTTCTTTTTTTTTCTTTTTTTTTTTTTGCATATATCATTATTCATCGTTCAGCTACAAACGAATACAAACTCAATTAAAAAGAGGCAAAAAAAATTTAAAAAAAAAAATGGAAAAATGGGAGAACCGACTCCCCGACGAAACAAGTCCACCCGTCAATCCTTTTTTTAGCTCTTTCTGCGCTTTCATGTGCTAATCTATAACCTCCTTCTACTGTCTGACCTCACAGGGACCGCCTGGGTCACAGCCCTCGCCACACGCACAGCCTCCACCCCACAACCCTAACAGCATGATGGGACCCCACAGTCAGGTAAAGACACTAGCGATGGGTAGGGCTGTGAACCGGGACGTGCGCTCGATTTACCTTTTTTTTTCCCCCCCTCCTCTCTTAAGCATGCTGGGCAGTGGGTACCTGCTCCCCTGGGGAGCATCCTCCCGGGCACCCCAGCTCTGAAGCAAAATATTGGGTTTTTTTCCCTTTTTTTTTTTTTTTTTTTTTTTTTTTTTTTTTCCGGATGTGCAGTTATCAAGTGGACTGAGAAGTCAATCGTGGGTATCAGACTGTTTTACCTTCCCAAGGTAGCCTGAGAAATTTAACTTGATGTGGGTTTTTAAGCTTCTGTTAGTAGCAGCAGTTGTAAAAAAAAAGTAACTTTAAGTCTTTCTTGGTTTTTTTTTCAGTACTTAGCATTGGGGTTTTTTTTGTGTGTGCGTGTCTGTATGTGCTTATTTGCCACTTTTTTTAATAATTCTCTATATATTTAAACTTGAACAGTCTCTAACACTCAGGGTTTCCCATGCACTAATTTGAACAGCCTCACCTAGCATTGCCGATGTCAAACGCTCTCAAACAATAAATCTACAGAGGAAATGTTTAAAAAAAAGAACGGACTCCGGACACTTTTTTTTTTTCTTTTTTTTTTTCTTTTCTTTTTCTTTTGAAACTTAACTTTTTTAAAAAGGATGTCTCCAGAAAAAAAAAAAAAAAAAAACAAAACGCAAAACCAAAACCAGTGTGTACAGTCTAAGCGGCGTGCGTGGGGAGCGTGCCGTCTCCCCGCAGCTCGGCCCTGACCTCCCTTTTGTGTCCCCGCAGCCCTTCATGTCGCCGCGCTACGCCGGAGGTCCCCGGCCTCCCATCAGGATGGGCAACCAGGTATGGCACTGCCGGGGTCCGCGCCAGTGGGTTTCCTGGGGATGGCTTTTATTTGGGGAAGGGGACAAGGGCCAGATGTCCTGAGGATGCTCCTTGGGTTTGGATGGCAAGCATCACCTCCCTCAGGCACCCTCCGTTTTCTTGGTGTTGGAGCATCGTGTGTCGCATAACCATTTTATTTTAATTTTATTTTGAGGCTCGGGTATATCCAGGGTGTAAACGGTGATGGGGAATGTGCTGCTTTTTATTTGTGGTGTTTTCACCGCACGGCCGTGCCATGCCGCGTGCTCGCTGCCCGCCTGGATTTTCCCTGCAATCGCAGAAAATTAAAGTGATGGAGATAATCCTGCTGCTGGGTTGACTGAGCGCTTAGATCAGCAGCGGGGTCAAGCGGGGCAGGTCACTGCTGAATTTTTGGGGTTGGATTTATCCTCTTATCCCAGCTTAAACAAGGGCAGTTTGTAACAGACGGAGGCTTCCACCCCACGCGCTGCCTGAACGCGTGGCCTTTGGTCGAGGAATTCATCTCATTCCCAACGATGCCGTACAGATCCGTAGGGTAATGACCAAACCAGAGGTTATTTGTCATTAAAGGGAAATTAAAGGAAACCTGTAATTCCTTTGAGTAGCAAAGGTGACTGTGCAAAAATTATCTTGGGAGCTTGTTTTTTGGCTATCAATGTTATTTTTATATAGTTTTTATGAGCAGAAAGAGCAGGATAGTCAGGAAATAGGATGTAGCAGCTTGCTTCGTGTTTGTGCTTGCTGGATTTGAGACTTGAATCGCTGGAATGACGGTGAGACAGCTGAGATGTAACTTAGAAAAATTCAGGGGGGGCTGATGTAGGACCCCCAAGCCCGGCTGGCCTGGAAGAGCCTCCCACCCAGGGCAGTGGTGGCTGTTTTAGCGAGGTATTAACGGACTGCACCTCCTCACGGGACAGTTTTAATGGGACCCCATCCTGCTGTGATCCTGAGCTCACACCGAGCTCCGCTGGAGGTGAGCACGGTGAGCTGGGGCAGGCAGGAGAGGCAGGGGACCAGTTTGGGGAGGCTGCTCTCGCAGCAGGGTCGAGCATCTAGGAGTGGGTAAAGTTAATTAGAAGGATTTAATTTTTTCCCCCCAAACACCATGTATAAAACGCAGGTTTGTACCTAGGCAGACCTCGGCGAGGTTATGGTCACATCCAGAGGGAGAAGAGGAATAAATAGACAGGCGGGAAGGTCAGGCAGCAGAAGTGTAAATATCCATCTCTACAACCCCTCTGGTTTATCTTCCTCCTGCTGCCAGCTTCCAGGCTGCAAAAAAATGGGGGATTGGGCAGATTCTGCCTCGGCACGGCCATGTGCACCCAGTGCCTGCGCCGTGCTCCAGCAGTGGCATCCGTCGCACGTCGGCATTCAAATAAAAGGCAGCTCTGTAGCAAAACTTTTTACAGTTTGCTTCCCCCAGGCAGATGGTATCTGCGTTTTTCTCCCCCTTTATCTGTTCCGAGCGGCCTTTGAACTTTAAATAGCTGCGTTGCCCAAGCAGAGCCTGGGTTTGGGCAGGGGGAGCATCTACCTTCGCCTCTGCCTGCGTGGGGATGGGTCCGAACGCTGGTCTGCTGCAAACGGAGCATCTTCCCGCCAGCAGCCGATGAATCGCTGCAACCTTTATGGTTTGGCCCTGACGCTGTGTAAATACCGGGGAGTCATGTTGCCGGTCTCCTTTCCCTGCTGGCTTTGACACCCCTGCCCCACGCAGCCCGGGCTTTCCCCTGCTCCCCTAAAATACAGCAGCCTGACGTCGCGCGGGCTGCAGGGAGAGGAGAAGACGCTAGCACCTTGTTTGGTTTTTGAGGGTGTTTGTGAAAGGAAAGGGGAGGCAAACGCCCGGAGGCTGTAGAAAGGAACCCGGGATGCAGCGGGATGCAGCAGGATGCGGGATGCTCAGGCAACCACAGGTCGTGCTGCGGCAGGAGGGGTGGTGCATCCCAGGGAGCGCACTGAGAAGCCCACTAAAAGCCTAAAGCCTTGACCCAAATCTATCTCTGTAGGCTGCATTTTAGGAATTTTTTAATCTTCCTCCCCTTGTTTTCACAGCCCCCGGGTGCCGTTCCCGGTACGCAGCCGTTACTGCCCAATTCGATGGATCCCACGCGACAGCAAGGTAAACCCAGCGGAGGAGGGTTGAACGTTAACGTTTCTCGTTAGCTGTTAATTTGGGACCCGAAGTGGCTGCTGTGCCATGTAACACCTCTTGCTTTCCTTCCAACAGGGCACCCTAACATGGGCGGCCCCATGCAAAGGATGAATCCTCCGCGAGGGATGGGCCCCATGGGTCCCGGTCCGCAGGTAAGCCCAGCACCAAAGAACATCTTACAGCTCAACAAACGCCATGCGCCATCGAAACAACCTCCTGGGGCTCAGAGGGCTGGGAGTTCCCCCACCACACCCTGTCCCCCCCATTAGTGTTAATGCGTTTTACATTAGTCCTGCATCTGGAAATCCCTCCTTTTAACATGAGTGAGGTCTTCAAAGTTCATTAAGGGTATTGCAACCTCCCTCCTGCCCTTCCGTCAAAGGGGATGGCACTTAGCACCGCGCCGGAGCAGGCTTTGAGTGCATTACGTTGCCTGCCTGGGAAATAGTTACGACCCTAACAGCAGGAAAGGGAAAAGAGGCTGCTTGCATAAAAAAAAAAAATAAATAAAAAGAAAAGGCAAAGATCCCTTTAGCAGGGGAATAAGGCTTTCCCCTGCGAGGTTCCCCTCCGCCTGCCCTTCCTGCTGCCTGCTTGAGCTCTCTGTTTCGGGAAAGGGGAGTAAACTCTTGAAATTAAGCAGATCTGGGTTAATATATGCTGTCTTTCTGTTGATTCACTTTACGGAGAGGCTTGTTGTTGACTCACTCCTGTTTGTACCTTCTACGAGACTTCAAAACCAGATTACCATATTTTGGTTGGAGGTTTATCCTCTCTGCATCGTCGCCTACGTCGAGTTTGTAGCGCGAGCATCAGAGTCTGTCAAGAGACAAGCGGGTGCGCTGGAGTTTTGTTTTGTTTTTCCCCCAGAGACTGTTGAGATAAGCGAATATTGTGTAAAGAGGGAGTTGTGTCATCGCTTTTTAACACCAGCCTGAGGATGCTGCTCAGGGATGCCCAGTCGTCTCCGCAGGCACCCAGATCCATCCTAGGGCAGGGGACGAAAATCCCACACGAGCATCGTTTCATGGACAAACCCTCCGATAGCGCCGCCGCTCTGCTTAAAATCCTCCATTCCTGGAGGATTGGACACCAAAAAAATGGCATTTGTTAGCGTGGCCTGTGCCAAGGCGAGCGGCGGCGGTTTGCCTGGGGGAGGCTGCTCGCTTCCCACTTGCAAAGCTCGCCATGAAACTTGGAAGCGGCGAGCGGGAGTTCAGCGCCGCGTGGGATGGCGACGGCTCTGGGAGCCGGCAGGAGTTGTGAAATGTTCAGAGCTTTTATTTTTGACTCCGCCGTTCCCTGTGTACGTACATTAGGGAGAGGTTTTTTTGAAAAGCAGCCTTCCTCTGGAGAAGCGCTGGGCTTCTCAATCTGGCACCCACGGGGCGCTGCCTCCCCGCAGCCATCCAGGAACCAGCGCCTATACATGCAACCACCAAAAATATCGAACCAAACCCAGCAGCCCCTCACACCTTGCATGCCCAGGGCTGTTTTTTGCTTTAAGCTTTGCATCAAGACCTTCCCAAATACTCCTTACATTACTCCAAAGGGCTGCAGAGCATCCAGCCAGGACATCCCGGCATCCTGACAACAGCTACTTCTTACGCACCAACAGTGAATCATCCCTTACAGCCGATCGCCGCTGCTTTTTTCCCTTTAATCGTCGCAGTTTTAGCTCTGCAGAAGCCAGGATTAGGTTTGCCGGTGCCTCTATGAAGAGGGTTTGTAGCTCGCTGGGTTTCAGCGGTGTCGTGATGGAGCCCGGCATCCAGGTCGCTCAGCACAGCTGCATTCCCTCCCTTTTTTTTTCCCTGAGCATCTTTCAGCCGGCTTTGGTTTCCAGCCTTTCAGCTCCAATTAAAAACGCTGAGCTTTATTTTTGCTTTTTTTTTTTAAAAACAAGGCGTTTGATGCTGCTATTCAGTGTAAATGGCTGGAATTTCGATCAATTAGGGACTTGCTGGTAATTTGTTTGGGGAAGACCCTTTTTTCTGCCTCTTCAAAACAAACTTTGGCGATGCCTCAGTAAAGCACCGTGCTCCAATGCATCCATAAATCCAGGGAA